CCATTTGAGCATAATGAGTGTCACATGTTTGTATCTGTTCATGTAAATGTGTTCTTAGCTCACCAAATGAATGGATTCTTGAGAAAGTAAACGTAAATGAAAACTCTGGCAAACAAAGTTTACCTGTCCATGCAGCTTGCTGCATATTAAGGAGCTCAGTTTTATACGCTTGGGCAATGGAATAAGTTTATCTTCTGGCAATTTGCCTTCTTTCTACATTCATTCACTCACTTAGCAAATTCTTACCTTAAGATAGAGGAGCACATCCCTTAGTGGCTAAGAGCATAAACTCTGGAACTTCACTGAGTGGTTTAAATTCTGGTTCCTCCATTTATCAACTGTGTGCTTTGGTTGAGTTATTTAATTTTCCTCTGCCTTAATTTTCTCATCTGGAAAGTAGGGATAATAAGGGCACCTACCTCATGTGGGTGTGAGGATTAAATAGGTTCAAATAAGTAAGATGCTTAGAACATGCCCGGCCTGGCAAGGGCTGAGGAAGTATACCCAGTTGACGTTGCTGTTATTGTTGTGATTCATATATGATAGTATACCTTTGACGTGTTTATCATCCACTGAGGAGAGAGAAACCGAATAGATTCAGTCATTTGATATTTCAACTGCTATTCAGTGCCTTCTATGTGGCAGGCACTGTAGTAGGCCCTGGAAATAAAACAGCAAATAAGAAAACCTATTCTTGCTCTCATGAAACTTATTTTTAGTAGGGAAGATGGTTAAAATAATTTCAGTAAAATGTCAAAAATTTTATCATAGGGAAAATGTAAGGTGCTGTGAATACATCTAGCAGGATGACCTAACTTACTCCAGAAGATCAGGGGCAGTAAGGAAAATGTATGATGACAAATGCTGTGCTGGTAGGTCTTTCTTAGGTTTAGAGACAGTGTGTGGGGCGAATGGGAGTGGGCAGTGATATATGTGGGAACAGCGAAAGGAGACCAGACTGCTCTCCAGATCTGAAGTAATTTCTCTGCCAAAAAGTTGGGACCTTGTCCTGAAGGCTGTATCACTGAAGTGTTTGAAGCAGAGGAGGAATTGTGGTCACGTTTTTATTTTTAAAGTCATTCTTTTATCTCCCTAGAAAATAGGCTGATGGAGGCAAGATTGGAGACAGGTAGACTTATTGGGAGGCTGTAGCAGTTGCACAGGCTAGAAATAATGAGAAACTGAATCAAGGTAGTGGCAGTGGAAATGGAGAGACAGGGTCAGATGGAGGAGAGAGATCAAAGTGACTTGCCTTAGTCAGCAACTCAGTGGAGGGGTGAGGGAGAGTAAGTGAATATGTGGGTGTATGGTAATACCACTCAGGGAGGATGGGAGGAGAGGAGTCAGTTTGTCAGCTTGGATCTCCCCCAACATTGACACATCCTGTATCTATATATATAAAAGCCTAATATGCAAAGTGTCCCCTCAGGAGTTTGACTGACCGGGAGTTCGATCGTTCACTGTGATGTGTGCTGATCACCATGCAGTGGCACGGAACAAAGGAAGACCCCGGCCGGCAGCTGGTAGCCACTAGGGACCCTACCTGTGCACGGATTTCATGCACTGGGCCTCTAGTTTATAATAAATATCAAACATTAGCATTACTTTGAGAGACCTCAAAGATCCTTATATCCATTTTTCTTCAGATGTTATTCACTTGTGAGACAGCAGTTAGTTGGGTTCTCTTGGGAATTTACAGCTAGTAGTGAGGAGAATTCAGGTGAGATCTACTTTCTTATATAGTATTCTGATGAAAGTTGGCTGCTCTAAATTGACATTTTACTGAAATTATTTTAACCATCTTCCCTACTAAAAGGCATGTGATAATATATTTTTTTAAAGAGCTGTAGGGAACAACCTTCATCAGTTGTTGAGTTAAAGCAATCAGATGGGATATTGTTAGAATATGTATAATGACATAAGGCTTTTGAATAAAGAGGGGGAAATATCCTTCCAAAGAGCATGGCTTGCATAGTAAAAGATGTGTCTTGTGTTTTGTGATTGGTCTTTAGTGCCCTCTATTGGCTGCTTAGTCTAAAACATCTTGATTCTTGAATACAGTGTTCCTTGCAGTGTTATTTACCAAAATGAGAAAACTTAAGAGATTTTAAACTTGTGTAAAGGAGATAAAAACTGATGGGGACTTAAAAATCTGCCTGGGGTCAAAGAGTTGGATAGAGGTTTTGAGAAATATCCTTATAACATTTTGTTGGATATAACATGGGTATGATATTATGGACTATATTTTCAGAAAATAGACTTTTCTGGTGAGAAGCAGCCTGAATCTGGCTGTGTGTTTTTTTCTTGCCTTTTTAGCATTTTTTTAAATGCAGCAAAGCCTCAGGAATAGTAGCCACCCCAGTAGGCAGTGGCAGCCGCTTTTCCCATAGGGTGGCTGCTACGTGTGATGACCATGACAGGAAATGGCTTTGACTCATTAAAGCCACTTCCTTCAACTGTGTGGGAAATCACACAGTCGGAAAGTCATCCCAGAAAATGAAGCAGCGATTATACACTATGGGCCGTCTTCAAAGGTGGCTTGTCTTCTTTTGAGTGACAAAGGAGCTGCCTTTGGGTTCCCTCCTCCAGGAAAAGTGGTGCTAGATTAGATTTAGTGCTTAAAATCACTAGAGGGCTAAGCCTGAGTCAGTGTTAGTGAGCAAGCACACTTGACACTAGCCTGAGCTCTAAAGAAGACTGGACTTTGTGTAAATAAGTGCTCACCATGACTTTTCCATTGTGTCCTGGCTGCTTGTCCTTTGAAATGTTTCTAATTATTTTAACAAAACCAATTCACCTATTTATTGGGTTAAAAATACTACCATTTGATTTGGTGTTATATGAAACTACAGAGGTCACTCACACCAACCTGGTGAAGTCATTTATTTGCTTTTGGTATATTTTACTGTTGCCGTTTTCTCTAAGAAAGTTGAGTAATTACTAATATGAAGTAATGCTAGCTGCTTTCTGTGCATTTCACGAGGGGAATAAGCTATTATGTAGTTTCCCTTCCCCCCCAATAAAAAAGCTTTCCATCAAAAACTGACATCCTAAATGAAGGACATAATTGTACAGCTTATTTATTAGCGTGTCAAACTTAAAATGTAATGGTTTCATATTTCAAAATGAAAAGTGTGTTGTGATTCATGGTTGCCAGTGACAAAATAGACAGCTCTTTTATATTACTGAGCTGATTGCCTGCTGATACACCACTGTATTTTTTATTTCTTTCTTTTTTAATTTTTTTTTTTGGTTCTTTTCTGTTCTCTTCCTATGCAATAGCTCCCTCTACTTGAAAATATTGGTGTAATTATACTTAAACACTCTGTACTTTGTTAATGAGTTCCCATGACAGTTTGTAATTTTGTTCCTCTTCATAAATACGTGGGGTTAAACATCAGGTCAGGTTAGAAATTTACCAAGACTCTCTTGACTTGGGAGTGGAAAAGCAAGGTTAGTTAAGGAAAGTAAGATCGGTAGTTGGAAGGCATTTTTTAAGGAATTAGCTGTGTAGCCTTTGGTGATTCATATACGGCATATTTGTTTAAAATTCCTTGCAGTACTTGAAAATGAACCTTGGCATCTGAAACACAGAGGCATAGGAAAGTGGGGAGTTCAAGGGAAGCACCAAACACTTCAAACAGACACAGCCTAGAACTTGGCAGATTCTCACTTTGTCAACTCCAAAGGCTTATCATTCTAACGCAAATGTGGCAGTTTCTCTCTACTTGCCAGGGAAAGGTTTAATAGGAACGGTAGTAGGAATCTCTTGTTACTACATCTTGCCTTTATTGAACAGTCTGCATAATGAAACAACAGGAGCAGAATAGACAAACCAAAGCAAGGGCTCCTATTACTGGGATTCTTTGTTCTCTTCCTTACTAAGTCTGAGGTTGGTGATAGTACCATATACCTCCACTATTAGGACAGATTAAGAGATTTTACTCAGAATATTTCCATGTGAATATGTCTTTGCATTCACAATTCTTTATTTCCAATTTCTTCTGTTATTATGGTGCAGGCCAAGTAGCAGCGCATGATGGTCAGAAGTGAGTGAGGTGATCTTGGCAAGTTGCCTTAACTCTCTGACTCTCATTTTCCTTGTGAAATACATGTGCCTGACAACACATCCTACCACGTCCTAAAGTTCATTTTAAGGATTAGTTGAATTAATAATTGTCAGGCACTTAGAACAGAGCCTGACAAAAGTAAGTGCTACCTATCAGTGTTCGTGGAATAAAATTAAAAATAATAGTGGGGTTATGAATTGATTTTTATTAACCAAATGTATTTATGCCACTGTTCTCTTCAGTGCTTAATGAAAAGAAATATGGATGAGAGAGATTTGCACATTGGCTTTGTTCATAAATTCATACTCATTTTCTATGTATTTCTACATATGAATCATTCTCACCTAGGGGTACCTATACTCTGTCATAATTTTAGGTTATGTTACTTTAAAACATACTCTTAAAATGCAGTGGAATATGCCATGGTTTCCATGTCTTTTTTTTTTTTTTTTAACATAAGTGACTTAGCAGGAGGATTTTATAGGAGGAATTCCTAAGAATGGAGCACTATGTAGTACACTTCTCTTGAAGCTTATTGCCCAAGAGCAATAACAGATGGGCTTACCTTTGATCCATAGTGTGACTGTGCTTGAGGATGTCAGAGAATCTTGCCCAGTTGTCCCTAGACCTCTGGTTATTCAACAAAACATGTCACCCAAAGTTGAAAGAAGAAATGTATGTGTATGAAGCACTCAGACATGCAATTTTTGAAAAATTAAGGTTATGTCTTCACCTAGATACGAGCTGATATCTGTGTGGGTGTTTAGAGTGGTAGTGTAATAGATTGTGCCATCTTTGGAAGAACATCACCAGGATGCCAGGCACAGGAAGTAAACAGTTAACTGAGAGTCATGAGTAAACACACACTGTCTGAAGGCTGAATATTTGTTTTTGGAGCTGACTCATCTTTCTTCTTGGTGTGATCATTAGGACCCCTTAGATTCCACAAGATCAGTGATTGTGATTCGTTCCCTGGTGGCCGATGGCGTTGCGGAAAGAAGTGGAGAACTACTACCTGGAGACCGCCTGGTGTCAGTCAATCAATACTGTCTGGACAACACCAAACTTGCTGATGCTGTGGAAGTGTTGAAAGCTGTGCCACCAGGCACTGTCCGCCTTGGCATCTGTAAGCCTTTGGGGGTAAGTTGTTGAATTTGGTTAATGTAGGAGGTGGCAATAGTGTCATAGTTGAGACTATGGATTGTGGAGACAAATGCACCTGGCCGCAAGCCCCTGTTCTACTGCTTACTATATGTGTACCCTTGTGTAAGTTTCTTACCATCCTTGCCTGACAGAATCAGAAGAAATACTGTCTATCTCATAGGGTTTTGGGAATTAAAGATGATATTCAGTAAGTGTTTTAGCACATTGTTACATAAATGCTCCCTGCTAACGTTACTAGTCCTACTACTACCATGTTAACTACCATTTTTATCTTCATCCTTTTAACACAGTCTTCTAGGGTCTTGTCACCTTCCTTATGATGTAAATTAGAATAAGTCTATTTATGCATTTTAACTTTCATTTTGGAATGATGTTGAGATGGCATGATAAGTTGAGATCCAGTTAACCATATCATATGTACTAATAGCAATGAGGTTTTAATATGCTTTTCTCACCATCAAAGTGCCTTGTAACCTTACCATCTAAACTCCTATATGGCCCAGCCATCTTAAAGTCATCTTATTGCATAATCTCATGTACTGGGTCAGGTTACTGTTTATGACTGAAGGCCTCTTTACAGGTGCTATTGAGGTTCCTCAATGCAAAAAAAAAATTGATGATAATTTTCAAGCAGCATTAAAGTATTATTAAGTGCTTACTATATGTCAGTCAGTGTTTTAAGTCCTTTACATCTATTAATTTATTTACAGGACTTTCAGAAGTAGTTCTCTTATTACCCTTGTCACAGATTAGTCAATCAAGACACAGAGAGTTGAGTAACTTATCCAAAGTGATATAACTGTGAAGGGGCAGAATTGGAATATGAACTCAGCAGAGTAGCCTCAGACCCTATGCTCTTAGCCACTATGCTCTATATTCCTGTTTTAATTTGTTGTCACTAGTGTAGTTTGCATGCAACATGCCTGAAACAGTATGGTTAGAGTGTTGGACTGGATTTCAAGAAATCTGGGCTCAGTTTCTAACTTTGCTATGAGTTAGCCCAGAGGGTTTCAAACACAAAAATGTATGATATACCTAAGAGTCACCTGGGAGGTGACAGTTTCCTAGGTTTTACTGTCAGAGTTTGACTTAAGAATTCCGATCCGCTCAAGAATCTGCCTCTTCAATGAGCCACCATGTAATCCTATTGCCAGATTTTGCACTTTGAAAAACATTGCCCTCACAATTTGATAATTAGGTACACCACTTTTCTTCTCTAAGCCTATTTTTTTTACTTCTGAAAAGACTGAATGAATAAGACTAGAAAGCTCCTAAAATCTTTCTTAACTCTAAAATCCTTTTATTTTATGAAGTATATTAACATCCCACAAGTGTTCTATCCTACAAACGATAGATATGTTTTTATATATATATATACATATACACACATATATATGTGTGTATATACACACACACACACACACACACACACACACACGTATATATGTGTGTATATATAGCTATAGATAGATTCATGCATTACATACAGTATTTTTGCATTGGAGAACATCAATTTGACCTTCTATTATTCACATATTACATATGAAGACGTCTATATATTACTATCAGACACTTTAAATATTTCAAAATGGGATACAGCACACAGCTTAGTCAAGTTCTTGACTCTGTACTGTATATTTGATATGTGGGTGTTGCCATAGCTAACATATAACATGAGATGCCTAGTTTTATTTTTGGACAAATTAAGAAAGGGTAAACTTGATATTTTATGGGGACCTCATTTTCTTGGTATTTTAGATTGTAGCAGGAACTTTGTCTAGATTTTCCCTGATGATTACTTGCCTGATTATTTGGCCTACTAGAGGAAATCACAAACCAGTTATGGCCTCTAAGACTCAAACAGCATGACTTGACTTGTCAGCAGCTTAAGGAAGTGTTTCAAGCAGTAGAAAAAAATGGAGCTTAGTACCAGCAGGGTGTGGATTCTTAGGCTATTTCTGGCAGGGGTCGAGCTACAGAAACCTCCGGACCTCAGAGCCTCCCTGTAGAGGGTTTCAGAATGAAATGATTGTGCGATGCACCTCTGTCCAGGCTCCCTTGGTGACCAGAAGGCTTGTCAGGATACTTGGGAGTGGGAGGCCAATAAAGAAATGAGAGAAAGGTCATTTTCAAGACTAACAATTCTTAGTGGAATTACCACTAAGTGATTCCTACTTTAACATCTGGGTTCTTTTAGCAAAACTATCTGTTTATGAGCTGTAAATAGTGATGCGTGGGTCTTTTCTGAGGTGTCTGTCTCTCTCTCATGGTTCATTTGGTGGCCACTTACGAAACCACCTAATGTTTACTGAGCATTTGCACATTCCTCGGCAGAAGTGGGGATGGAGTGTGAATAAAAAGGCCCAAAGTCAGGTTGGGGCGGAAAGATTATGAATATACAACAGGAGAACAAAGTATTTTTTTAAATATATTTTATTAATTATTTACAGAGAGGAAGGGAGAGGGATAGAGAGTCAGAAACATCGATGAGAGAGGAACATCAATTCAGCTGCCACCTTCACACTCCCCACTGGGGATGTCCCCGCAACCAAGGTACATGCCCTTGACCGGATCGAACCCCGGACCCCTCAGTCCACAGGCTGATGCTCTATCCACTGAACCAAACCGGTCAGGGCAAGAACAAAGTATTTTTTAAAAAAGTTTTGTATCGTATATATCTGTTATCTATGTATTTATAAATATTACAGACCTTGTATTTTAGTCATATATAGATGCATATTGTCAATAAAATAATTTTTATGTTAACCGCAAATGTGATTTAACTTCCTTTTCTACAAACTCACCTCAGATGAGCCAGATCCTAAAAATGAATGAACTGATTTTTAAAACTGCATTGTATCTTCAGAACTAACAGAATAGAACTGGCAATAGAGTTCTTGAGCCAGACAGCTATGGTCTTTGCTTCATTCTGTGATTTGCAAGGCCATGTGTCCTTGGGTCACTTACTTACCTCACCAGCTCCCCGCTTCCTCATCTATAAGGTGGGCATTGCCTGGCATGGTGGTTGAGATCACAGGCTCTAGAGCAGCCGTGGGCAAACTACGGCCCCCGGGCTGTATCCGGCCTGTTTGAAATAAATAAAACTAAAAAGAAAAAAAAGACCGTACCCTTTTATGTAATGATGTTTACTTTGAATTTATATTAGTTCTCACAAACACTCCATCCATGCTTTTGTTCCGGCCCTCCAGTCCAGTTTAAGAACCCATTGTGGCCCTCGAGTCAAAAAGTTTGCCCACCCCTGCTAGAGCCATACAGCCAGGGTTCAAATTCTCGGTGTGTAACCGACTAGTTATGTTACACAGGACCAATTACTGTGTCCCTTTTACTCATCTGTAAAATGGGGCTAATAGCCCTAGCTGGTTTGGCTCAGTGGATAGAGCGTCAGCCTGTGGACCGAAGGGTCCCAGGTTCGATTCCAGTCAAAGGCAAATGCCTGGGTTGCGGGCTCGATCCCCAGTGTGGGGCGTGCAGAAGACAACTGATCAATGATTCTCTCTCATCATTGATGTTTCTATCTCTTCCTTTCCCTTCCTCTCTGAAATAAAAAAAAAAAAATTTTAATGGGGTTAATAAGAGCACATATATATTAACAACTATATTAAATGAATTGAATTATTTAAAGTGCTTAGATCTGCACCAATGGTTTTGCTGTTATTTTTAGACACATATAAAATCCTGACCTTATAGGATGTTGTAAAGATTATGCTGAGATAAAAAATAAAATAATAAATAAAATATGAATAAGTTACTGCATTTCAATTCTAACTAGAATGGTAAATTTTTTTAAAAATGTCAATGCAATTTTAGAGATAAAACTAAATTATATATATTTTAAAAAGATTATGCTGAGGTAAAGCATATAAAAATATTTGCCATGGCTTGTGATATGAAGCTAGGACTTGATAAAGAGTGGCTGTTATTACCTGGCACTGATATTGAGATGATAAGCCCCAGAATGGCTGTGTCTCTTCTGATGGAGAGTGACCACACTGTGCCCTTGTTAAAGGTTTTGAAAATCACCCTGTAGACACTTGTACATTTTTTGATAATAAGGTCCATTCCTGGGAAAGTGACTTTTTTCCTTAAGTCATATTTAAAAATAAAAAGTGTGAGAAGGTTTGACTTGAATTTGGCTTTCTTTTTAATTGTTAAAGAAAAATTTGTTCTAATCAAACAAGGTGCATACATTTTATTATGTACTTGCACTTAATGGAAAAATAAGAATTAATCTGAAGAGAGTTTGAAATGAAGGTATTTTCTTGATTATAAAAGTGTTTCTGTGGTTGCCAGAGGGGCGAGGGTGGGAAATGAGTGAAGGTGGTCAAAAGGTACAAACTTCCAGTTTTAAGATAAAATAAGTTGTAAGGATGTAATGTAAGGCATGGTGACTGTACTTAATGCTGCACTGTATATTTGAAAGTTGCAGATGTTAACTAAATTTATTGTGGTAATCATTTTGCAATATATACATATATTAAATCATTTTTATACAACTAAAACTAATATAATGTTATATGTCAATTATATCTCAGTACAAAAAAATAGTTTCATGGTTGACAAAAACATTTCTTCAGTTATGCAGAAAAGTAGAAAATAAAATAAAAATGCTTCTATTTTCAGGAAGATGATAAAGAGGAAGAAAGTCATTATCTTTTACATTCAAACACTAATGAAGACAAGACTGAAATTTCAGGAACAATTCATGATATAAATTCATCTTTAATAATTGAAGCACCCAAGGTATTTAGTACATTTATTTCCCGTTTGAATGGTTTGCTGTGAGCTAAAGTTGCTATAAGGAAGACAGTGCTTGTTACCACTCCATTAGCTAAATATATAGAGTTCAAATAATCCCCTCTCTATCTTTATTATTATTTTTTAAACTGAAATCTTTTCCCTCTTGTATCACATTGCCTCCATAAATGACATAGGCCAGTGTAAGGCATTTTCAAAGAACAAACATACTTTCTTTCTTTTTTTTATTATTATTATTAGTTAAGGTATTACAAATGTGTCCTCATCCCCCCATTAACCCCCACCCTCCCCTCGCCCCGCCCCGCACACTCAGGCTCCCATCCCCCTGTTGTCCATGTCCATTGGTTTGGCTTATATACATGTATACAAGTCCTTCCGTTGATCTGAACATACTTTCTTTTACACTAATATTTCTTAAAATTTTGAGGGTAGAACATATTTTTGAAAATAGACCTGCATTTATAATGATGTAGAAAACAGCTATACAAAAGAACTTCTTATTAAATACTTTCTAAAGAAAGATTTAGTCAACCCTAATTTTTGCTTCAATTTTAGAAGGTTTATTTTAGAGCTTTTCCTTTTTTTTTATTTTTAAAATGAACTGTGCTTATTTTGCTCTTTGCAGTTAGAGTATGGTTTTGCTTTACTTGGTAACAGCTGTCTTTTGATATTCTTTACATAGTTTGTTGACAGTGTCTCAAGCTGACAGATAGTCCATTATATTTCTTAGTGTAGACTTTTTTGGTTAAAACCTCATAAACACATGCCATGTCCAAATATACCTTCTACACACAGCTTTTTTTTAAAAAAAAAATAAGTAGGTTGTAGTATATGGTATACTGTATTAATATACAAGTTTCGCCACAGTGATATTTAGCTGCAAGTAAGGAAGTAATGGGAAAGAATAGATTCATTTCCAGGAATTTATACTTAGTAATACTTAAAATAGGACCTGTCATTGATCCCTTCGAAGGAAAAGGGCATCCTTGTGATCAGCACCTTGATGTCGCTAAGCATTAGATCAAAGTCTCAGCAGCTCCGTAGCATGACCAAAACTCAGCAATGTTCCTGCACGTCTGTGACTATTTAGCTTCAGTTGTATGTACTTGTTCTTCTAACTCGTGAAATATAAATTAATTTAAAAGCACACTGTATTTATTCCTTTTTGTTATATATTTTCAAAGCAGATGAAAAAAATCTATTTATAGTATATTATCAAAGAGTCAAATTCAAAGTAGTGAGACATATGCCTCTTATCTTTAGTTTACGTGGAATGTTTATTTTTTTCCAAGTAGCCGTGATGTCTTTTGAGTTACGTAAGCTTGAAAATCCTGATCTTTTAAAAAAATATATATTTTATTGATTTTTTACAGAGAGGAAGGGAGAGAGATAGAGAGTCAGAAACATCGATTAGAGAGAAACATCGATCAGCTGCCCTACTGGGGATGTGCCCGCAACCCAGGTACATGCCCTTGACCGGAATCGAACCTGGGACCTTTCAGTCTGCAGGCCGACGCTCTATTCACTGAGCCAAACCGGTTTCGGCTGAAAATCCTGATCTTTTAAGTCTTTGCTTTTGTAAGTATTAATATGAAGTGTTTTTGTATTTATGTACTACTTTTTATATGAGATCCATGAGTTAAATATTCAGCGTAGCAGTTTGACAAAATTGCCATTTCTGACTGAGCGTTTTCAGGTGGTTAATGTATAATGAACCTTTTAGAATAGCCATTCACCTTGCCAAGGGCAGATTTTAGCCTCTGATTTATTGTTCGTCCCTTTCCTGGGTGGAAGGTTGTGTGGTAGTGAGCTTGTATTTCTCCGCGTGTGTAATGGAGAGCAGTTCATGTTAACCATGTGTTGGCATGTAGCAACGTCCCTGCAGCTACAGCAGAGGTTACTCTTCCAGCTTTAAGAGGGTGTAGCTTAACGTTTTTTGCAACCTTTTTTTTTTTTTACAGGAATTTAGAGATGAACCCTATTTTAAAGAAGAACTTGTGGATGAGCCACTTCTAAATTTGGGGAGATGTTTCCAGTCCCAACACAAAGAGATAGACAATAGCAAGGAGGCCTGGGAAATGCATGAATTTCTGACTCCTGGATTGCAGGAAATGGGTGAAGAAAGAGAAATGCTTGTTGATGAAGAATATGAGCTCTATCAAGATTGCTTTCCGTCCACGGAGTTGTATCCCTCCTCACACATTCAAGAGGCTGCTCCTGTTCCGTCCATGCAGGAACTTCACTTTGGTACGCAGTGGTTCTGTGACAATGAACCACCTGAGCCTCAAGACGCAAGGTCCATGATGAGCGTATATTCCCCGGAGACACAACAGTATGGCTACAGCACTGAAAACATGGTAAGGGGTGTTTTAAAACAGATCTTCCCTCCCCTGTCTCCTCCCCTTCCTATCCCAGTCACTAAGTCATGAAACTTTAAAAAAATATATTAATGAATCATTTCATAATTAATCATTTTTCCAAGATGTTACTATACAGTGTGTTGCTGTAAGTAAAAGCTCATCTTTTCTGCATCACACAACTTTCAGTTTCAGCCAATAGGCTCCTGTTGCTTTGCTTTATATATATTTTTTTCTTTTGCTTTGCCTTTTTAGTGATGTTTTTCTCCTAATTACCCATTTCAAGGAAGAGGTCTCTTGCCATTTGATTTTTTTTTAAATTCCCTCAGGAAAATACAGTTCTACGTTTCTCACATAGTGTATGTCCAGTCAAATCAAGGCAAATTGATTAAAGATTGTTTATAACTCACTTAACCACACTTTCTCTGTATTATATATGATACTAAATAGAGAGTTGCTGAACTCTAGGAAATCATCTTTACATTTGTGATACTGCCCATTTACAACTGGGCAGGAAAGCATTATATTTTAATAGGTTTGCCCTTGCTATTAAATTGCCAATAAACTTTATCTTTTAGAAAATTAGAGTTAGCTGGTCACCAATTGGGATCATTTATTAGGGACATTTTTTCGTGTTTTTTTTTCCTGTCCCCAATTAGATTCCAAGTAAATGAAAAGGAAGTTATTGTATAGGGATATGCAGCAGTATATTCATTCAGGTACAGTAAGGCGCTCCCCCCACTGAGGTTAACAGCTTCCCTGCAGTGATGTGCAAAGTGTGTTTGCATCTGCTCTTTCACAGGGCAGCTAGGACTGGGTTTCCCCTTTGCCTCCCTTAGACCTCTTCTCCCTTTTACCCTTCTACCAATGCTTGAGGGTCCTTCCGCCATGCAGGGCACTGGACTAGACGTATTTATGGAACCCCAGAGGATTCCTCATCATAGAAGACTCTGGGCAGTCTACCAGAGAACAGATGTTTTGGGATTGTGTGAATAATACCTTGATTTGGGAATAGGTGACACACAGAATTACCTGGTGTGTTGCCATTGACAGTGGTGGCCATGATGTTGTCATTTAATTTTATGCTCATAAAAGTTTTTTTTAAAATCCTATATAATAAAGAGCTAATATGCTAATTAGTCCAAACAGCAAAACGACCATCCGGACAACCTTCCGGATGAAGCGAGGGCCGAGCCCCTTGCACGAATTTCGTGCATCAGGCCTCTAGTATCATAATAAAATACTTCAGTAAAAATTCTACGTCCTGGAAGATTGTGACTTTGGGAAACCATAAAAGATTTGTGTAAAAGGAGGACAAAGAGGAAAGTGTGATAAATTACTGACTGTGCTTATCTTTGGTTTTAGGTTTGGGACACTGAGTGTTCCCCATGCAGATAAGAGTGCTAGGGAGGGTGTAGCAAAGGCTTAGAGCTGTGGAAATTCACCAGGGATTTGGGGATCAGCTATTTACGTGGTGGTCCAGCGGGATCAGGAGGTAGTGTGTCAACCATTGACCTTGCTTAACTGGCTAGATCTTTTATTCCTTGACCTTGGTAAATGTTTATTTAAGTCCACTTATTAATGTTTAGAAAAACAAATTTGTTGTTTAAAAAAATCCAGTATTTAGGGAAAAAACACAGGTTTTTCTAGCCTGTACTCTTGCAACTATTAAGTTACCAGGGTTCATTACTGCTTGCTACAGCATAAACCGTTACTTGAGAAGGCCTGTTTTCAGGGCCAGTTTTCCACTATCATTATTGTCTGTTTAAACTACATTATAGTGTTCCACATTTTATCATAAAGTACTAATGCGTTTCTGTTTTCCTTCCTCTCAAGATGAAAGAAAATTTTGGCATCAGTTCCCATCCCTCCATATCCTCAACTGAAGGAAACAGTCAACAAGGCAGATTCGATGATCTGGAAAATCTTAATTCGTTAACGCAAAGCAGTCTGGAGTTAGGTTTGTGGTTTTTGTTTCTCCTGAACAGAAATTACATTATTTTGCAATCTTTCCATTTTATTTTTGTATGTGATCAATTTTACGTTTCCATTTCATTCATTACGGCGTTTCAAATTTAAATCAGCTTATTAATCTGCTTCCAAATATCTGGAAGAATAACAGTTGTTCATATTTTAACTTAGAGTTTTCAGATTTTGTTTTCTGAGAAGGCTGCATTTTCTCTGCCTCGTTTTGCTTTTTATTATCAGGATGAATTAAAACTAAAACTAATACCCAAGGCTGAATCTGAAATAAGTCTCTACTGATATATATTGAAATCTTTGATGCTATTAAGTGATACTGTTAGCTCACTGAATGGGGTTGTTAAATATTAATAAAGAGAGGCATATTTTAAACATTTATGAAACATTTTTATAGTCATATATTACAGTCAATTTCGGTACATTAATAACTTAGTTTCCATTAAAGAATCCTGAAAGTATCGTGCCTCTCTCTGTTTCCCCCCAGTATTGATTCTTATGTAATTTTGAAAACTTGACTTCAATAAATAATTTTTTTCATCCAACACTGAAATATCAAATGTTATAATATTAGGATCCCTAGGTGAAACTGTTAAATTCTTTCGTAGCACTGGGATTTATAGAGCCATTGTTCAGGATTCATGCTGTCCTTCACCTGTTATGACACTACTTATAGGAAAAACCTTTTTCTATGGGAAATTCTTATGTGTATGGTAATATGTCATAAGGAGAGAGAAAGAACTACAGAAAATTATGTAACAGTTTTATGTAAGTGTAATTTTTTTTGAGAAAGAGAAAGAATGGAATTCTTCATGGTAAAGATTGAAGACATTTGTGAGATAATAACAATGATCAATTCCTATGAGTCAACAGAGGTAATTTTGAATATCTAAGGTTAGATGAGTCTATCCAGTTTTGCATGATGTGTAACTGATCATGACTAGGGGAAAACATGGGAATTTTTTTACCAAAATTCTCTAAGTATACTATTTTTTTTGTTGTTGTTTAAATATATTTTTATTGATTTCAGAGAGGGAGAGAGAAATAGAAACATCAATGATGAGAGAGAATCATTGATTGGCTCCCTCCTGTACACACCACACTGGGGATCAAGCCCGCAACCTGGGCTTGTGCCCTGATGGGGAATCAAATTGTGACCTCCTGGTTCATAGATTGACACTCAACCACTGAGCACACCAGCCAGGCAAGGATATTGTTGTGTGTGTGTGTTAATAAAAATCTACCACATTTTTATAGTCCTCCAATTATTAAATACTTGGGAAAGGTTTAAAGCACCAATTAACAAATAAATGAATTAATAGACCATGTGATTACCATTGATACTTTATAACAATCTTGATACTATTGTGGCTCAGATAATTTTTGGTTGGAGGGTTGAACTGTGCATTGCAGGATGTTTAGCAGCTTCCCTGCCTTCTAACCCTAGATGCCATTGGTACTCCCACCCCTGTCATGATCAAAATCAAAATGTCTCTAGACATGCCAAATGTCCCTTGGGAGACGAAATTGCCACTGCTTTGGACCTATTTATGCCTTATAACATCAGGATTGAAAGGAACAGACGAGAAAAATGGGGTGGGTTATTGTGAGAAGAGGCAGTGGAGTTGGGAAAACTATGGGAAAGGAGATATTCTCTTCATGGGATGATCCAGTCCCCCCTAGGTGACTCCAAAGTTAGCTCCACTGCCTTCTGCTGCCCGTATGTGTTTCCTAGGGCTATTGTAACAAATTATCACAGAATTAGTGGCTTAAAAGAATAGAAATGAATTATCTCTGTGTTCTGGAGGCCAGAAGTCCAAAAACAAGGTGCTGTGCTCCCTCTTAGGGTACTAGGGAAGAACCTGTTCTTTGCCTCTTCCAGCTACTGGTGGCTCCAGCATTCTTTGGCTTGTGGTTGCATCGCTCCATTATCTGCCTCTGTCTTCACATGGCCTTCTTTTCTTCCTGCCTGTGTCTTCTCTTCTTTTTGTCTCTTATAAGTATATCTATCACTGGATTTAGGTCTCACTGCGGTAATCCAGGATGGTCTCACCTCAAGATACTAATATCTGCAAAAACGATTTCTTTCCCCAAGTAAGGTCACATCCATAAGTCCTGTAGCATGGATATACCTTTTTCAGGGGTTCACCATTCAACCTACTACACTGCCTTAATGTAATATTTTGGAAGGCCCTTAGACCTGTAAAGCTGTCTTAGACCTGTATTCACTAGAAAATCATTCATAACCACATGCTTTTAGGAAAAATTTTTGAGAGCCTCCAGAATTCCATGTGGCAGGCATGAATTTTTGGATCAAAGCTAATTATGGGTGGGCTGAGAAATTACTGATGCTGAGTCAATACAGATCTCAGCAGCATACATATTGAGTTAATTCTACTCAATTTCATTTTTCTCTCGAGAGCCCTGCCCAGCCTATGACAGACTGTTCCAGTCCCAGGATCCTTAGGACTTAGCAGTTAACCTGCTGAGTCATCAGGCAGGCCTTTAGGCTTCTCCAAGACTCTTTATTTCTTCAAGTGTAAAATGAACGATTTAGGCTAAGTGTTCTCTAAAGCCTCTTTCAAATCTCTAGCTCTCTGACCACTTTATAAGTAACAGACAATTTTAGATTTATCTAAGAACAATTAATTTAAAAACTGGTTTTGGAGAATCTATGTATAAAGGACTATTCTTGACTCTATACTTTCTCCAAAATTCTGTATCCTCCAAGACCCTATACTCCTCATGGGCTATGAAACTAAGCCTACAAATTAGTATAATTAATGCTATAAAGAATACAAGATAAATTTTAAATCAGTAACACCTTTAGTGTTACAAGATTTCCGAGAGAAATTAGTTCTTTTTCCCAATTTTTGCCCCTACCTGAAGTGTGCCTCCAGTGAACACTGGATGAATTTCTGTCATTGTGCCCAAGAGTCAGGCATACATACTCAATTGCATGCCAGTCTTGTACTGTAGACTAAGCTCTGAAGGGCAAGGCTTATCTCTGATTACATTATGATAGTAGGTGCTCAAGAAATATTTGTCAAATGAGAGCGTGACATGCCGCTTAGATGTGGTTATTTAACAACAAAATAAACCTCCCTTTCGTTCAGTTGCTAAGTTGTACAGAACCTAATCTCCTCTCTACTTGGATTCTTATTGCCATTATTTTTTGTTGACTATTTTTCTGTTCTTGTACCCCACTAAGTATAAGTCTTTTGAAAATGTTTCCCATTCCTCTCCTATAGGCATTAACTTCCATTTACCCGGAATATATATATATTTTTAAGTTCTCTGTTTTTCTAACCTTTGTGCTCCTGTTATGGCCATTACCTAAGAACTGCACAGGCCCTAAAGGACTGGGTTTGTTTTATGGGCTCCCGGGTACTGTGTGTGCTTGGCGAACAGCTTTGTAAAGTGAAACTGTGTCAAGCACTGTGAGAGATGAAAATGTGTGCCTGAAAAAAAAAAAAAAAAAAAAGGAAAGAAAATGTGTGCCTGAGCACCGCCAAGGGTCCATGGAGGAGGGGAGGGGGCAAAGGGCATGCGCAGCCTTCGTGTGGGGCAGGTAATGCAAAGTTTTAGACAAACTGCAGCAACCTGTAAAACCCAGTGCTGTAGTTTAACAGGCTGCTTTTGCCAGCACAGCTGGATGGGAAATAGCTCTGCCAATAGAGCTGGTTTTCTGCTCTTAAGACTCTGGTTTTAGGCCATCCCTCTCAGAATCTTGATCCCACCCCTGGTCCCTCCTCAGTGGAGAGGAGGCAGGCATAAGCAGAGCTGGAAGAGTGAGGCGGGCATACAGATATGACTGCTTTGCAGAAATGCGGGCCCTGGTGGATGGGATAGAGGGTGCTTGGGGTAGGGGAAAGCAACTGAGACTTCCTTTCACACCACCTAAAAGCTAGTTATTTTCACCCCCTCATCAGATTCTCTGTTGCATTACCAACCGATTAGATCCTGATTCTGAAGTTTCTAGATAAGATAAAAAGCAGAAGTCATAGTGAGTTTATTAGGAAATTTGTTCAGTATGAAAAAATGGAGAGTTTAGGTGATGCTTATAGGAAAATCTAAAAGACTATATCTCTTATAGATTATTTCTAATTTCCTCCAAAATATGCTATAGATGTATAGGCTGAAGGGAGGCATTTGATGTATAGTTAATCATATTTGAACATGCACCCTGGGTATTATCCCTGACCAGAATTGAACCCACCAACCTTCAGCGTATGTGATAATGCTCCATCCAACTGAGCCAGACCAGCCAGGGCTCTGGCTTCATTTTTCACCATAGTACTTGTCATCATCTGACGTATTAAATATTTTACTTATTTACTTTAATATAAATAAGTTTTCTTCCTAGAAGGGACTTGCCCTTGATAGAGGCTCCTAACCATTTGTTGAATGAAGGAAGGATGAATGAAAGCATTTTGTGTTCACTATTTCTTGGTTTACTCTATAGGCATGATGATTCCAAATGATGTCCAAGGTCCTGGCTTGCTTGTTGAACTGCCCGCTATGGCTCAAAGAAGGCAGCAAGAAGATCTGCCCTTATACCAACTCCCCAGGGCCCGAGTTGTTTCCAAGACCTCAGCACACACAGGAATGTTGTCTTCCAGATACACCACTGATGCATAGTATGATTTCCTTTTCTTTTACATTATAAAATAGTTCTTTTTCATCTATAAAAATGAAACAGATATAATTATGGTGATACATTTGGAAAATACATAAAAATACTTTGAATAAAATCCACTATATTAGACAATATACTAATTGTCTAGTTATATACATACATAAAATTATGCCTTATATACAATTCTGAATTCTTGCAGTTGCATGCAAAATGGATCACATCGAGTATTTGCTTAGAAAATAGGAGGTTAATAGTTTATTTTTAACAACTCAAACTAGGAATATGTGGACAAATGAGGGAATGGATTTAATAGTTAGATCATCTATAGGAATTGGTGTCTGATAACATGTAGGAAGTGAGAGGGACTAGTTGATGATGATTCATGTTCCTGGATTGAAAAACCAAATGGATAGTGGGACCATTAGTTCTTCGACATAGATTATAGAAGCATAAATAGGTTGGAAGGGAACGAATGAGTTCAGTTTGAGACATATTGAGGGTTTAAGTATTCATAGGACAACAAAGTGAAGTGGAGTCAATTGGATCCGTGATTCTTGGGATTAATGTTGAGGCTGTCTTGACATGGATAATTGGGAACAAGATCAGGCAAGCACTGGTGAAACTCCTGGGTTTGAGTAGCCTTTCATTGGAAGTTCAAGGAATAAGAAGAGCATAGGGTCAAAATTGGAGACCTGCAAAGCAGCAATATTAAAGGTATGAATGGAGGAAGAAAATAGGAAAGTGGAATGAACAAAGATAGAAGGAAATTCATGAACCAGAGGTTGACATAGAAATCAAAGGAAAATAGCATTTTAACAAAAAAATCATCACATGCTACAGGGAGGTCAAGGTAGATAAAATGGAAATGTTTTCATGGGGTGTGGCCATATGGTCTTTGGTAAGCACAGTTTTATTAGAGTGCATGGTGAATTGAGAATTGAACAAAAGGTCTGAAACTGGACAGACCAGTGTTTTCAGAATCCTGATCATGAAACGAGGCAGGTAAATGCATGAGGTAGGTAGATAGATAGATGATAGATAGATAGATAGATAGATAGATAGATAGATAGATAGATAGATAGATAAAGATAGATGAGAGAGGAAGAATGAGAGAGAATATGTGTGTGTGTATCTGGCTGTGTCTTTGTGGAAACAATCCAGAAAAGAAATATGTAAATTCTAGGAAGGGGAGGTGATTACACATAGTTCGTATAGAGAGCCAGTGACATTGATTTTTTTCTGTCATTTAGGGGAAAAGCTATTTACAAGAGTGTTGGGGTGCTAGTAGAGTGGCATTAAAAGGAGAAGTGTGAGAGTAGAGATTAGCTTTTAAAACAAGGGTAGGCGAGTAATGGCTTAGTGATGGAAGGGAGTTTAGAAAAATATTGGCCCCTCTTGCCAACTTCCCAGAGAGCAAGAGAATGAGCATTAACCATTTGAGTGTGGTATCATGACAAAGAACCAGCAGCTGTTGAGAGAACAGAGAAGGTATCGAGAACATTCAGTGAAGAGGTTAGTGCATGGAGTAGTTTCTTTACAACTCAAGGAAATTCCACAGAGTGATGGGTAGTTTGGCTGGGCAGGTGTTGGAGAATGGAGTGATATACGAAGGTGAAACCAGAGTGGTGTAGCACTTTGAGTACAGGAGAGGAGTGAACAAAGGAGCTGGAGGTACTGACATAGCATAACAGGAATGAGTGATAGGGTAGGATTGGCCCTAATGTTTTTATTAAACCCTTAGTCCAAGAATGATTTTATGTCATGTATCAACACAATGATATTGTCTTCTCTATTCAGTAACCCGTGACCTTCACCTAGAGTTTTAGATAGAAACTTCATGAAACGTTGTTCTTTGTGCTTCTGCGTAGCTCATCTCTGAGTGGAAAGGGAAGACACAGATAGACCCAACTAGGACAATCTGGTGGCTTTTCACGCAGCAGAACTGGAGTCAGAGGGGCGGTGCTAGCAGGCCTGGTGGCCTAATGGCCTAACCAGCTCCTGGAGGAACTCACAGTGTTAAACAAGCAATGCATTTGTTTCTTTAGGAGAGATGCCTGGGAGTGGCACTACTGGAAGGGTTAGCAATATATTTTATGACTTTTATGTGGTCAAATTACTTTTTAAATGAGACACTGTTGTCTTTTAAATTTCCCTTATGCTTAGTGTTAATCATTGAATCTGGCTGAAGAATTCAGAAATGAGGCTACTTCTCTAAAGCTATAGAAATATTAACTGTAGAATTGGAAAAGGTCTAAACAAATTTCCAAACCCACGCCTCCTTCCTCATGCAGAAGACAAAATGGAACATCAGTTGTATCTTAATTCCCCCAGCTTCTGAGAGGGAAGATAGGCTTTACTCCTATCCCATTGCTTTTTTCTCCTAAAATGATTACTTTAACAAGTCAATTTCTTATGCAAGCACAGGTATTTAAGGGCTCCAACCTAATTTTGTCTTGGGAGATCAGTCTTGCATTTGAAAGTTGTACTTTTGGCTTGCTTGCATAGATTGAGGATATATTTAAGTCTCAGCAGGTTCCAGAAGACTTCCCGTAAATCATAGTCCCCGTTTTAACCTTTTAGCGAATGCACATGGAGTTAGCATTGTAGGTGAATACTTATTGCCACTCAGGAGTCTTCCTGAGCAATGCATAGATTCTTTTGGGAGAGAGTCTTTTAGATTATCAGTGTGTCATGAAGTACTAAATAGTATCTTAGAGTTTCTTCTTTGCATTAATTGTAGTGTAGTTCTTTAATGTGCATATGTGTGTCAAGCCAACTTCTCCTTGTGTTTGGAGGCAGGACAAGTATTAAGAGGTCAGACTCACCCTCAAAGTGGGGCTCTCTACGAGGACAACTGTGGGCCGGTGGGTATGATAACTCTGGAAGGAATCTGAGCTGTTTTGTTCCAAGTATCCCCCTTTCTTCATAAGGTCACTTGAGATCAGGTCTTCCGAACTCACCTGGCTTCAGTCTTTTTCTAACTCATCATTGTCATCGCCTGCTGCCTGAGGACATATGGGTGCCTATAAGGGGGGACATGCACATCTCTCAGACTAATAGCAGATCTGTGGTATAGACATATTGTGGGTGTTGTTCAGATTTTCCCTCTAGTATTTATAGCTACATGGCCCTGAGAAGGTTTCCCTTGTGTCCAAAATTTCTCATTTATAAAGTAGGTACTTTTACGGATTAAATAAAAGTGAATATAAAGGGCTTCATATAATGCCTTGAACATAGTAAATGCCTAATGAATGGTCAGCAGTGATGCTCAGTGACAATGATAGACTCATGGGCCATGAGGTTTATCTAGGGTAGTATTCATTATTGCTGGGTTTTTAAAAAAACATTCAAGGAGATTGTAGGCTGTTTGTTTGTTTTATAATAAAATAGGACCAGCTCACAGTTAATAAAACAAGGAGGTGTCAGAGGCTAAAGGCTTTGGAGGAGGATGAACTTGAGATGAAAGACTTTTAAAATTGACAAGAAATCATGCTGTCGGTATAATAGGATGCAAATGAAAAGAAATACTTTACATATTACATTCTTTGTTAGAGTGGTGGAAGTAGAACAGGAGGCAGGAGTGATGGTGGGGGGAAAGATTAAATGATTGTTATATTTTGATCTCCCAATACAGTGCCCGGCATTTAGTGCCTTTTAAATGAGTGGTGAATATTTAATAGGTTTACCTTTGGGATAAACTGCCAAAAATTTTGTATAAATTCAGAACATTGGTAAGAGGCTGAGGAAAAGGAAGAAAAGAAATGTATGCATTTGAGAGAGGACTACTCTGGAATATTTTGAGTTGGGAGGAGAAAGAGGAGGTTTCCAGTATACTTTTGTTGCAGCTGTTGTCCACACTGCAAGGGAAGATAAATATGAAAAATTAGGGCAGGAAGTACATAAGAATATTACACTAATGTCTTTGAGACTATATTTAGATCTTTGATTACTAAGCCAGGCTCTACAAAAGGCCAAAAGAGACGTAAAGTTGATTGAAGGAAGCAAGTTACCCTTTGTGACTTGAGCTTTCATTTCCTTAACAAAACTCTTAACCACAATTGTACATGTTAGTAAAATGCACAGATTTTTAAGGGACAGTTTCCTTGATGTTGATCACTGTGTAGATTCATATTGCCGACAGTCCAATTAAGATATTGAACATTTCTATCACCACAGAAAGTTCGCCCATTCTCTTGGCAGTGCCTTGTCCAAGGCAACTACTGATGTGACTTCTTATACTGTAACGTATTTATCCTGTTCTAGAACTCATGCAAGTATAATTACGTAGTAGGACTGTTTTGTGTGTCTGGCTTCTTTTCACTGAGCACAGGTCTGTACCATTCTAACCTTTAATATGAGGAATGCCTGATTCTTTCTGTGTACTGGTGCCAAGTAATAATTTGCTTCGTACCTTCAAAAAATCACTGTAACATCTGTATGAGTAAACTAGCTAGTTTGGAAAACACTAGTACCTGTTCTCCCTGGTTTCAAACACTCGGTATTCCCTATGGCATGTCACAGCAAATTGCCATATAAAATCTATATTTAAAGAGGCAAAAGAAATCATGACATGGCTTAGCCACAACTAGAACTCTTCCTGCTTAATCCCTTTAGGGTGCCGAGTTGACTTGGCCCTCATATGGCTTAGTATGTAGAAATTTCATATGGAAAAAAATGGTATATTGAAAAGGAAAGGTCACCTTGGCTATCTGGATCCATCTGACTTTGGTATGATGTTGAAGATTTTATTCACAAAGGGATTGTATATCATGATCAAGTCTTACTAATAACACCCACCTGTTCACTAATGAGCTACTCCATCTTTTCTCCCAAATCTGTGAAGAATGATAACTTTGGGCATTTGTTAAAAAGGTCTGAAATTAAAAAAAACATTGTTTTTATTGGATGTTTAATTCCCTCGGGGAAAAACTGGTTCAATGTAAGAGGTAAATTTCAGTTATTTTAAAAATTTAAAACTTTAACTGATTGAGCTATTGACCATATTTAATTACAGTGCAAATTATAAAATTTGGTTAGAAATCCCTCATTAAAGTTTTAAATGTGTTGGTGAAAATTTATACCTTCATATGTGTAATAAAAGTATTTTACTTTCTCAATTAAATTTTATTTGAGGTTAAAAGGCATATATATGCCTTCATCAATGTAAAGTGACTACATCAGTTAGTTGGTATAGTTGCTCATCTCCTCTGACTGTATTTCCAAAACTACTCACACTAAGTGGGTAAGCTTTTGCAAGTTTTATCTCTCTTTAAGTATAAAATAATCTGATTAAAATAAGCACATACCAATTTCCTGAAGGAAGATAATATCTTTGAAATAGTCAATGAGTCTCTTTCAACAAAATAATCTTTTTGTTACATACTTTATCTAAAACTTTCCAAATTCTAGATAATGCTCCCCCCCCTCCACCCCAACCCAAACCCTTCTCATAATTTGTGAAAGCTAGCAGTTTAGGATAATTTTGCTTTTTATTTTTTAATAGAAAAATTGATAGCTTATACTAATATTAAAGCTTGGTTTTCATTCTAGTTTATTTTTTTAAAGAATTTAATTCCTATAATGATAACATATTTGTATCACAATAAAGATGCATGTGTATGTGTGTTTTTCATAGTGCCTATTATGGACTATTTTTGCTCACAACACTTCTGACACCAAATCTGTGAGTTTTTCCTTCACACAACAACCAGTTCTCTCTGACACCAACTCCTGGGCGTTATGTAGACTCCACAGCATAAAGGTTCTGCCCCGTAAGACTGCCCTGACTTCAGATGCCAGTTGCCAACTGTGCTTCTGACCAAACAGCTTGAAATTGGGTTTTCCCACAGCCCCTCCCTTGGGCATGTGAGGAGGACTCACAGAACTCAAGAAAGCACTTTACTATCACTGGTTTATTATAAAGGATATAACTCAGGAATAGCCAGACGGGAAAGAGACACAGGGCAGGTCGTGTGGGGAGGTGTGGGTGTGCACAGTGCTTCCATTCTTCTCGGCACATTACCCTCCCAGCACCTTGAGGTGTTCTTCAACCTGGAGGCTCTCTGAACCCTGTCCTTTAGGGTTCTTTTTTTTCTGGTTTTTTTTTTTTTTTTTTTTTTATGGCAATCCCATTAAGTAGGCACAATTATGTACATCATTAGCCATTGGTGCTTGAACTCAATCTTTAACCCCTCTCCCCTTCCCAGAGGTGGGGCTGAGGGTGGGACTGAACGTTCCAGTTCTAATCACCTGTTTGTTCTCTGGCAGCAGCATCCATCCAAAACTATCCAGGGCCCTACCAAGAATCACCTTATTAGCACAAACGCAGTTCTGGTTGAAAGGAGATTGTTATTAATAACAAAAGATGTTCTTATCACCCATATCACAGAGGAAATTCCAAGGAATTTTCTATGTCAGGAATCAGGACAGACATTAGTTATTTATTTCTTACTAGAGGCCTGCTGCACGACATTCGTGCACTGGGGGGAGGGGGATCTCTCAGCCTGGCCTATGCCCTCTTGCAGTCTGGGAGGCCTCAAAGGACATCCCCGGAGGGGTCCTTAGCGCTGCTGCAGAGGCGGGAGAGGCTCCCACCACTGAGCCCGGCTTCTGGCTGAGCGGTGCTCCCCCTGTGGGAGCGCATTGACCACCAGGGGCAGCTCCTGCACTGAGCGTCTGCCCCTGGTGGTCAGTGCGCATCATAGCGACTGGTCGTTTTGCCATTTGGTTGATTTGCATATTAAGGTTTTATTATATAGGATGTGGGAGAAATTTTGATGCACAAAATGAAAAACTTGCAAAGGAAATGAATATTGGTTGAGCTTCAGTTACTAGTAAATGCCAGTTTTTCCTCATTTAATCTTTGTTACTGTTACATAGGGTAATCAAAATATGAAAGTTTATGTGATGATTACAACTATCCAATGAATAATGTGATATGATAAAGTGAACACTTCGCTCAAATTGGTGGAATCATGGGAGTATCATTTAGGGAATGCATTTAGAGGCTCATACACAGAATCCCCCGTGGCGCCTCCCCCTCCCCCTTTAGCATTGTTTTAACTAAGCAGGGCCTTAATTTTTTTCATGTAAAAAGTTTTGAAGAAAGTGGTCTGTCAGGGTCTGAAACATGTTCTTCCTTTCTTCTCTGCTATCCTTACTGGGGCTACTCGTAGTTTCTTCGTGATTTTTTTTTTTTAATATATTTTATTGATTTTTTACAGAGAGGAAGGGAGAGAGATAGATAGTTAGAAATATCGATGAGAGAGAAACATCGATCAGCTGCCTCCTGCACATCTCCTACTGGGAATGTGCCCGCAACCAAGGTACATGCCCTTGACCGGAATCGAACCTGGGACCTTTCAGTTCGCAGGCCGACGCTCTAGCCACTGAGCCAAACCAGTTTTGGCGTTTCTTCGTGATTTTTTAAGATGGAGTGCTTCACCACCAATATCATCTCTGCCTTCTAAGCAAGGAGAAGGGAAGGGTGCAGAGCAAAAGCCTCCTGCCAACTGATTCTCCTCCATTTTAATAAGTTTTCCTGGAAGTCTCATCCAGGGACTTTTGCTTCCCTATCCTCACAGTTACCATTAACTGAAAGGAAATCCACAAATGTATTTTTTCAGATCTGGGCAAAGTGCCACCTGGAATAACAGAGTTCTGTTGGTAAGGGAAAGTGGGAGAGAGGACATTAGATAAGTAACCAGCAGATATTTGCCAGGCTGTTTGCTCCTGAATGCTATGATCTTCTAATCATAAAAAACAGATTGGTGAAGGCAAGAAGGCCATGTGGTAGTGGGTGAGATGTTAATGATCCATAACGACCCCAATTTCTTACCTGATTTTTGGGATGTCTAGATCAGTGGTGGCAAACCTTTTGAGCTCGGCGTGTCAGCATTTTGAAAAACCCTAACTTAACTCTGGTGCCGTGTCACATATAGAAATTTTTTGATATTTGCAACCATCATAAAACAAAGGTTTATATTTTTGATATTTATTTTATATATTTAAATACCATTTAACAAAGAAAAATCAACCAAAAAAAATGAGTTTGTGTGTCACCTCTGACACGCGTGTCATAGGTTCGCCATCACTGGTCTAGATCCTTTCAGCTTTCTCCTTTTCAGTTACCCTTAAACCATTATATCCTAGAAAGTCTGTAGAATGGCAAGGAAGTTGAGTTTTGTTACTTTTTACAGGACTTAGTTCAAAGTTCAGAGAATAATGGAGCATTGAAACTTAGTGCGGAAAGAAAGACTTGGGTACTGTGAGGAAGTTGTGTAGAATGTCTGAGCCTCAGTTCCTCATGTGAAAAATATAGTTATGTGGCCTGCTGTGCCTACTTCACGGGTTTTTTTGTGAAAATGAAATGAAAGAGATAGTGCCTACATTTTTATATAGAGTAATACAGTTTAGAGTATCAGACATATTATTTCATTGGGTGGTCCAAAGTCACATACCTATTTCATGGCACAGGTTAGAGTGGAGCTTAGTACTCCTGGCTCCTCTTCCAGATAATTATTATGGCAATGTCTCTACCCTATTAGATAGCACTACTTATATAATTACTCTGTAATTCAGCATTTTGTTATTAAGCAGCTCCATGCTAACATACTTGATGGGTGAAAGTATGTTTGTGGTATGGTAGGTGGGAGGATTGAATTAAATAACGTAAATAAATCTCTCTGTAAACTGAAAAGTGATGTATAACTACACAAGATATTCATGGGATACCAATGACGGGAATTATTTAGAGTGACAGAAAAATATAGAAAGAGGGATCGTGTTTACTAACTGTTAAGCCATTTATGTTGATCTATTCTCTGAGCTAGTCAATATCAAGTTTTAAGGAATATATCCTATATAATAAAAGGCTAATATGCAAATTGTCCCCTCAACCAGGAGTTCGACCAGGAATTTGACCAGGGTATGGGCTGGCCTTTCAACCACCTTGGGCCCCTCCCTCCAGCCAACCATCCGCAGCCCCTCCCCACATCCTGCCCCTCCCCCAACTGCCCCCCCAATTGGGGGCGGGCCAGCTGGCTGACCTCCCTTATCCCCTCCCCACTGCCTGCCTGGCCCCTGATTGGCCCCAGTTGGGGCCGTGCTGGCCAGACCCCACCCGTCCACGAATTCGTGCACTGGGCCTCTAGTTTTTATATTGATAGGGGAACAAATATTGCACAAATCAAACACACAATTTTTGAAAATAGCATTTAGAGTGGCACTGATAACAGAGCTTTTAATCTATGATTTTCTAGTGCTGGGTAAATATTTGTTGAGTTGAACATTAAAACAATATATTTTTACTTTGTATGGACAGTTAACTATTAATGTAAATATTTTAAAAGCTTAAAAATTAAGAACTGTTTACATATAGATTGTGCAATTTTATGTTTTATAAATTGTGTGTGTTTTTTTTCCTCCTTAGTGAGCTACCTGAGAGAGAAGAAGGTGAAGGAGAAGAAACTCCTAACTTCAGTCACTGGGGTCCACCAAGAATGTATGTTGATGACATTATTGGCTTTCTCAATAGAACAACACAATCAGCTGCTTTTTTCTTTAAGTTAATATTACTGTCATTCAGTCATTCTCTAATGATTGAGAAATTGCTACTCATATGTAGCCAGGCAAAATGACTACACCCAATGTTAGGAAAATATCATACTCTTTCAGAGAAAGCAATTTTCAAATGTCCACCAATGACAGTAACTGATGGACTAAGTATAGTTTATCACTGCCTCACTAAGGGCAGATAGGGCTGCCTTGATTGCAGTAAAGCTTCTTTATGTATAAAAAACAACAGTAGTGAGGCTGTACCATGTACCAATTTATTTCTCCCTCCAATCCCTTGTGCCGTATGTGAGCGAACAGAATGTATTGGGCCCATCTTCTCTTAGATAACTCTTGTAATTTTATGTAGGCATGAGGGATGTACTTTATTAAGATTATTAAAGTCTTCCTTTAGCTGCTCTGTCTATTCTTCATGCATTATTAATTTCACTGTGCCCACAAAAACTGTTTTTTCTTGCACTTATGAGTTTTGTCTTAAAAACTCTTAAGAACTGTTTTCTGAGCTACTTTTTAATTTGCATTAATTATTGGCTAATTAATGCAATTGGAGGGAAAAATTCATAATATGTTGAGGGTCAAGTTTTTTGTTTTGTTTTTGTTTTAATCCTCACTCGAGAATATATTTGTTGAAGTGAGAGAGATTAGAACGGGGGTGGGCGGGGGGCGAGGAACATCAATGTGGGAGAGAAACATGAATGGTTGCCTGCTGGAAGCTCCCCAACTAGGGATCAGACTCACAGCCTAGGTATGTGCTCTGACCAGGAGTTGAACCCACGGCCTTTTGGTGTACAGGACAATGCTCCAACCAACTGAGCCACCAGGCCGGGGCTTGATGGCCAAGTGTTATCCCATATGTTTTTGAAATGATGTGAAGGTAGGAAGAAAAGAAAACCATCCTGCCTTAGGAGCAGATAAAATCTGTCCTCCACTTAAAGAACCCCAGGTTATGCTGACTGGGAAAAGCAGCTTGGGGCAACAAGCCTCTCAATGGCAAATTTAATTTAGTCTGAAATTTTCTGCTTGCAGAGACTCTTGATTTTTTCACTCATCTGTTCTTTCCTTAATCCAATCTTTGCTAATATTATGGGTGTAGATGAAAAGGACCGATCACTGAAAACATTGTGGTAGGAGATGGGAACATTAAGGCCTAGCTAAGTCTCTCAATTTTGAGTTGTATTTATTGTTTTAGATACCTATCTTTTTCAGAATTTAAACTTTCACATACACCAGGAATTTTTTTAATTTTTTAAAATTTATTGATTTTTAGAAAGAGAGAGGAAGGGGGAGAGAAAGAGAGTGAGGGAGAGAGAGAGAGAAACATCAATTTGTTGTTCCACTTATTTATGCATTCATTGGTTGATTCTTTCATGTGCCATGACCAGGGATCGAACCTTGGCATATTAGGATGACGCTCTAACCAATTGAGCTACCCAGCCAGGGCTATGCCATGAAATATAAATAATATCTTATGATTTAGGAATGAGGTACAATTTCCATAACATTTTAAAAAATATATTTAGAAAATATATTTATATAAAATATGAGCCACAAGGATATGGTACAAATTGAACACTTAACAGTAACAGCCCAACAAATTAAATTAACTTGTTTCATGAGTGTATTTTGTTTTATTCTTTTTATAGTGTTGAGATTTTTAGAGAACCTGATGTGTCTCTTGGTATTAGTATTGTTGGTGGACAAACCGTTATAAAACGCCTGAAGAATGGAGAGGAGCTTAAAGGTATATTTATCAAACAAGTTTTAGAAGATAGTCCAGCAGGAAAAACAAACGCTCTTAAAACCGGAGATAAAATACTTGAGGTAAATGATATTAAAATTCTGCTTTTGTTTGAATGTACTATGAAATAGTAAAATAATCATTTAGCCAGAATGCCTATCTTCATGTGATGGGGTATATGTGTGTACAATTGGTGTATTTTATTTAGATGCCTTAGTTTGTATGTTGTTTGCATAATCGTATGAGATCCTAAAGTTAGAGTGGTAGCATATAAAACAATAAAACAAAAAGCCTCGATTGACTAAACAATTTCAAAATTTAACAAAATGAGGCCTGTGGTGGGCATCATGCTTTTCCTACAGTCTTTAACAAGCTCTGAATTATATAAATGTGTGTAGGTGGGCTAGCCATGCCTGTCCCCCCAGAGTTGCCCTGGAAGTCGATGGAAGGATGAATCCATTGTTCACATGTGGTAGGCTTTGTAGAGTGGAGTTTTAAGGGCACATCAAAGCACTGAGAATGTCCTGAGGTGTGAATCTGATACATTTCTTTGCATAGATTTTATTGGATGACACCATATTGAATATCTTCAACCTGAGTATCTGCTTGAATATCTTCAACCTGGGTATCGGCTTTTATATATATAGATAGCAAAACCAAATACTAATATAGTCACAATTCATTGACCTTATTTGGGTTTGTGTTGATAGTTCTACACAGTTTAATCACAAGTGTAGCCTTGCATAACCACCACCACAATCAAGAAACTCAATTGGCCCTAGCTGGTTGGCTTGGTGGATAGAGCGTCAGCCTGTGGACTGAAAGATCCCAGATTCTATTCCGGTCAAGGGCACATGCCCTGGTTGCAGACTCAGTCCCCAGCAGGGGGGCGTGCAGGAGGCAGCCGATCAATGATTCTCTCTCATCATTAATGTTTCTATCTCTTTCTTCCTCTCCCTTCCTCTCTAAAATCAATAAAAATATGAGGAAAAAAGAAACTCAACTGTGTCATTACCATAGGACTCCCTTGTGTTACTACCCTTCTATAGCCACTCCTCTCCCCATCTCTAGTTTCTGGCAACCACTAATCTGTTTCTCCATGTCTATAATTTTGTTATTTCACAGTTGTCACATAAGTGGAATCATTCATTATATCTCTTTTTGAAATTGGCTTTTGTTCACTCAGTGTAATTTGTTTGAAGTTTACTTAGTTTACTGTCTATCAACTGTTCATTCCTTTATATGGCTGAGTAGTATTCCAGGATATACTACAGTTTAACCTTTCATCCATTGAAAGACATTTGGGTAGTTTCCAGTTCTTGGCTATTCTGAATAAAGCTCCTATAAACATTTGTATACAAGTTCCAGAGTGAAAATGAGTTTTTGTTTCTCTAGGATAAATGCCCAAGAGTGCAATTGCTGGGTTGTCTGCTATGTTCAGTTTTAGACTTGAACTGTCAAGCTTTTTTCCAGAGTGGCTGTACCATTTTACATTTCCACCAACAATGTTTGAGTGATCCAAGTTCTTTGCATCCTCACCAACATTTGGTGTTGTCACTGTTTTCACTTTAGCCATTCTGATAGGTATTTAGTGATATCTCATTATTTTCATTTGTGTTTCCCTAATGGCTAATGATTAATATTAAGAACTTTTCATGCGCTAATTGCCATCTGTATATTCTCTTCCGTGACATGTTTGTGCATGTCTTTTTTCTGTTTGCTAATTGGAATTTTCATTATTTCATTTTTTAAAATTTTGGTCTGTTTCCCCCCACCACCATCTTTCCCTGCTGTCAGTTGAAAATAAAGTATTCTCTCACTTGTCCATCATCACTTTTACACATACTAGTAAGAACCCACTGTTTTGTCTCAGATTTGATAATTTGTATTTCTTCAAACTCACTGTAGACTTGAAATGTTACACTTTAATATATAGCTTGTCAAGCATAGTCATTTGTTTACTTTTTCCCTGAAAAGTATTACTTGCTTGTTTTGTTTTCTAAGTAAAGCATAATAATCACTTCTTTCTGTATTGAAACAATTGTATGAAGGATTTAGGTCCATATAAATAATTTTTTATACTAGGAAGTTTTAATTTAATATAATTTTTAGGAATGGCTATTCATCTGTGTTAATGGACACACTGTTGGGTAGATATTTTTCTGTTGTAATAGGACAGATTTCCACTCCCCCCTGCCTAATTCCCAACTTCAGTGATTCCCATTTAACTCTGTGAAAAAGGGAAACAAAGGCTGGTTGTGACTGGAAGATGAAATAGTTCTCCTGCGCCTCTACTTCTCTCACTGTTGAATGCTTTGGGGATTAGATTATTTATAAGAAGCTTCATCAAACTGTTGTGACAGCTTTTAAGCTTCACTTTAAATTTCTTCTCTACGTACTTTATTCATTTAATATTATTCCTATTCTTCCTCACTCAAATGAGAAGAGAGCTTTTACAGAGCATTAAAATCTTCTAATAGATGTCTGGTAGAATAAAAAGCCTTTTACTAGTAGACCTGCATGATGTGGCTCCAGCTGCCTCCCTGACCTCACCTCTCTTCTTCTTCCCCATCTTTCACCATTCTTCGGACTCACCTGCCTTTAAATACTTCTAACACACTAGGCTTCTGTCTCCTACCTGAGGGCCCTGGCTTCTCTGTCCCTCAGCTTCTAGGGTGCTCCCTTTTCTCCTTACTCTGCTCAGATTCAGCGACAGATCATCCTAATCACTCCTTTGCATACTCTTTCAACTCCTTTGATCCTCTTTTCTTTCCCTGAACTTGTACAACTCTGCTTACTTCAGGTCTCTAGCCTCACCAGAGAAAATAACTGCCATACTGTCTGGTGGAAATTCATGACCACTCCCTCAAGTGGGCCTTTAGTTCTGCCCTGCAATCTGTAACATCTCCCCAGTTATTTTATTCTCCTACTTCCCTGGGTAACTATTTCAAACCTCCTGTACCTCCCCCTCAGCCTTAATCTCGCTGTATGGTCCTTGTTTCTTATTTCATTGACAGAATAGAAGCACTCAAAAGGGAACTTCCCCTTGCTTCCACAGCATACCAATCTTTTGTCCTAACAGTATCTGTACTATTTGTGCTTCTATCTAAGGCAGTGGTTCTCAATCTGTGGGTAGCGACCCTTTTGGGGGCCGAATAACCCTTTCACAGGGGTCGCCTAAGACCATCCTGCATATCAGATTATACAGTAGCAGCATTACAGTTATGAAGTAGCAACGAAAATAATTTTATGGTTGGGTCACAACATGAGGAACTGTATTTAAAGGGCCAGAAGGTTGAGAACCACTGATCTAAAGCCAATCTCTAACTTGTGCAGAAGTCATTCCCTCTTCACTATCCAAGGATTGGCCTCTATAGTGGTCACTTCTCTCTCTCATTCGTTTTGCCTCTCCACTGCATCATTATTGCTGCAATAGCTCCCATCGTAAAAATAAAAACCTGTCTTGATCCCACTTCCCTCTCCACCCACATTCCTATTTCTTTAGCCCCCTTATGGCAAAGCCATATTCACAAATTGTCACTATCCACTGACAATAAGCCACCCCAACAATTACCAAGGCTTTGTTACATGATCAGTTTGAAAAACTGGTTCTATTATATATGTTTGTTAAATAAAGGGTGTCTTGGAGATTACGGGCATGTTCTCAAATTAGATTCTCTGAGATTTGTATAATAAGGAGCCATTTACCCTTACCCAAATTTATTAAGCACAAAATATGCCTGAAAAAGGAACCTACAGATGTTTTCATACTCCTTTTTTTAACAGAATTTAAGAAATATTCAACTGCTTAATTGTGATAGTCAACAATTTGCCTGAAGTAATCATTCTTCTCAGTGTGAGAGAAGATGCCAGAGAGATCCCCACCTTTTCCTTCCCTGACCCAGAACTATGTACTGTGTTAGTGACAGGGGTGACATTATAAACTCAGAGGCTTAAGGTTCTGTTACTGACTAAGCTACTATTTTGAGTAATTACATTTAACCAGGGCTATTGTTATTATGATTTTTGTCTTGTTTACTTTTCTTGGAGGTAATACGGTACTTCTGTAAATGTGTTCCAGAACAGCAAAGCTTTTTATGGGCTAATCTTATTTTTTCCTGACTTTGGTTTACTAGTAATTCATTAGACTCTGGCAGCTCTCATAACTATATAATACACATGAACGTTGAATTGACCTATCCACGGTATCTACCGCCTCTCTAATGCAAATAAATGCCTTCTGTGTTGTAGGTGTCTGGAGTGGATTTGCAGAATGCCTCACACAGCGAAGCAGTGGAGGCCATTAAGAATGCAGGAAACCCGGTGGTGTTCGTTGTTCAGAGCTTGTCATCCACTCCAAGAGTAAGCTTTTATGTTTTCAAAGAGTTTATAAATATTCTCTGTATCTGTAAACCAAGCTTTAGCCTCCAAGTATTTTTCCACGTATTTCCATTTTTACTATAGCCTAGAAAAAGCTTTGGCTTCATAAAAATTTAGTTATTCATTTCAGTTTCTCCATTGTTTTCTCCTGTTTTGGCCTCCTAATTAAATTTGAGTCATTCCAATGTGTACTGGTGTAAGTCACAGTCTATGGAAATAAACAGTCTGTTTGCGATTTCTTGATTCCCTGTTTACCAGCTTCGCTTAACTTGGAGGCAAGTTACTTGGTTTATAAAATGCTTTGAACATAAAGAGGGTCAGGTGTAAGAACATTCTAGTGATACTATCAATATTCTGTATATTTATTAAAGCATGTATACAAGCATGCTGCCCAGTGGGCATGGCTCAGTGGTTGAGCATCGACCTATGAACCAGGGGGTCATGGTTTGATTCCTGGTCAGGGCACATGCCCGAGTTGTGGGCCCCATCCCCAGTGTGGGACATGCAGGAGACAGCTGATCAATGATTTTCTTTCATCATTGATGTTTCTCTCTCTCTCCCTCTCCCTTGCTCTCTGAAATCAATAGAAATATATATTTTAAAAAATACAAACATATTGTATTGTAAATTCTGTTGGAATTATGAATTCAAAATGACTGTATTTAATCATAACATTTTTTTCTATAATAAATCACTCTTTTGGTATAGAATTAAAACTCTGATATGCAGACGTCTGTGGCAGGATGAGTATTTTATATTGCCGTGCACAGCAGCAATGTCACCTTTAAGCCCTGTAACTAAACACAATGTTTATTTCTTTCTAACTTTATAATGGAAGGCAGCTGTTCAACACATAGTATCTGAACAGGAGGGAAGATGTCATATACTTTTTAAAATTTACATTCCAATATAGTATTACAGTGCTTTTCAATCTTTTATATGTCAAGGTATACAGGAACTAAGAATTGTATGTCAAACTGGACAAACAGATGCCCCAAAGGCCGGGACATCAATATGCTATTTCGACATACTTGTAACCTGCCTGCTGCAGCCTCACCCCACACAGGCATTGTGCTGCAGTTCAGCCCCTTTTGTCTTAGTGCTGTGTTTCTACACCATCAGGACTAGTTGAGAGAGATGAACTGAATAAAACCTTCTGATTTTCATACCATTCGAAATTCAAGATTTTTAAATTTTTTTTAAGGGAATCTACTTCTAAACTTTTATAATATCGAGAAAGTAGTTTACGCCATCACTTTTATTTCTTGAAACTGAGTTCAATAGGGAAATTGGCATGATTATTTCTCACCAAATGATACTTCCAAAAAAAACATTTTGAACTAGAATGAGCCAATCAAATTATGCATTTATGAGGCACTTGTGAATGCCCTGTCAAGAAAATGTTGAAAGCATTCACATAGGTTATAACGTCCACCTAAAAGTGCAGGCTTCTGTCCAGCCTTTGCTTGGGTGGATATCTTCTCCTGGATGACATAAACAGTGTAATTTCTCTCAACTCTTCAAAAAAAAAGAAAAAGAAAAACTCTTCAGCATCGTGCCATGCTCAAGTCACTCATCCCCGCTTTTAACCCCTACGTTGTGCATGTGGTTCATCAAGCATTGCACCCTCTGTGGTCCTAGCCATGGGAGCATGTTCAAGTGATGGTGTTAGTTACTGTGCCCGTGACTTGTTCCATTTTTTTTTTTTTAGCACAAAGTGATTCCTGTTGAATGAGCCAATGAAAGGGATCAAGGTTCACATTTTTACAAAATGGTGTTCTCTTTGGCTCACTCATTGTTGCAAATAGTATTGATCATCATAGAAATAGGAAATATAGCCAAATGCGTTATCACTTTTTACCAGTTTGCATTTCTATGCGCCTTTCTCTCAAAGTCCCCAAAAGAAGTCATTTTCTAATGGCAGGCCCGATGTCTGTGCCATGGTCACATGGAAATCTCATCAACACTGTGTGGTGTTCAACATTGTACTTTCATTTTCTTTGAGTTGTATTTTATTTTATTTTTTTACACTTGTGCCTTTAACAGATGCTTTACATGTATCAACGTATTACCTTTTTAATGTAACCTTTTTCTCCTGAATTTCTCAAGTGTGTTTTCAGCAAACTAGAAAGAAATGCGTGTATCTATTCAGATTTACTTTGCAAATGCTTATTTGAGAGCAGAATCCATGATTTATACTGCATTCCTGTATAGATAGTTTTTATGCCAAGGTAATGTTTTCCCCACTTAATAACATAACTACATTTAACAGGGGCATTGTGTATTTTTTAAGTCTACCAGACCTGAGGCCCTGAACCTAACTGTCCCCTATACCTGGGCTCCTGAGCATTAAAGAGAAAAAACCAACATGATATAGAAAAATGTTAGTTACATGCAAACAAGTGGTTAGAATAAGATGGAACTTGGAGACATAGTAGAAAATAGGTCTACCTTTCATCTACCTTTCATCTAGCGCCAATATTCCACCTTTGTGTGGAAATTACCGAAAAATCGGTACAGCGGTATGGTGGGGCAAATCCTGTTGGCTCTGTCTGATGTGGCTTAGTTGACTGGGTGTTGTCCCATGCACAAGGTTGCTGGTTTGATTCCCTGTCAGGGCACATGCCCAAGTTGCGGGCTCAGTCCCCATAAGGGGGTGTGCAGGAAGCAGCCAATGGACATTCGCTCTCCCATTGACGTTTCTCTCTCTCCTGCTCCCTTCCTCTCTCTCTAAAAATCAATTGGGAAAAAATCTGAAGGAAAAAAAAAACTTTTGAAATTGGGGTCATCCCTTCAGTTCATTAAATTTATTTTGTGTTCTTTTTTTTCCCCCTATAGTCCATTTGTACTTCCTAATACCATTGTTTCATAATGGTGCCTACATTTTTGACATATTTTGCATATTAATCATATACAAATATATTTTTTACTTTCACAAGAAAGAGGGTCTCTTTTACTTTTCTTAAAAATATAGTCTTCTTGCCCTAGCTGGGTTGGCTCAGTGGATAGAGTGTTGGCCTACGGACTAAAGGGTTCCAAGTTCAATTTCAGTCTCAAGGGCACATGCCCAGGTTGTAGGCTCGATCCCTAGTAGGGGCGTACAGGAGGCAGCTAATCAATGATTCTCTCTCATCATTGATGTTTCTATCTCTCCCACTCTCTTCTTCTCTGAAATCAATAAAAATACATTTTTTAAAAATGTAGTCTTCTCAATAAGTCTCTTGTCTTCCACATTTTGCATGATACATGTACAGAAATATAGTTTTCTGCTATTTGAAAAAGAGTGTAAACCTTATGAATGGCAACTGACATCCTGTGTCATCCCAAAGCTCTGCCATTCAGCTTAAACTGGTTTTTCCGTGGGAGGACGTAGGTCCAGTGTGGGCAGATATCCTGACTTGTCAGGGAGGCAAAATGTTCTGTTTTGTTTTAAGATTCTTTAGGACAAGAAACATATGCTTCTAGATCTAGCATTTTTTGAACTCTGATTTAGGTTGTTGTGTGCATTAAATAGAGAAATAAATATTAAGCATTAGCACGGCATCTATTCACGTAGGAAGCACTGAATTTATGGTGATGTATCATCTCATTTTTTACTTAAGTGAAACATTTCTGAGACTTTTTTAATATATTCCAAAATTAATTTCTGTAGAAATAGCCTAGGGTGAGGATTAACAGGAAAACACACAAAACAAACACACACAAAAAGTGAAAAAAAAAAATTAACCCTAAATTGCATTTAGAAAGAAACTTTTTCTTTTTTTCTTTATTATTATTATTATTATTGTTATTATTATTATCCCTAAGTAGGTAGTTTCTTTAAATTTGTGAGAAAGGAGATCTGTTTTTTTCTTTTTTTTTTTTTTTTTAAATTTAAATCTAGTTTCATAGCACCTTTGCTATGATTTATCAAGGTGAGTATGTTGACCACAATTATGTATTTCATCTCACTTCTTTAATAAAACAGTCCAAAATAGCCCCATCCATTTTTATTTATTTATTTATTTTACCTTGCCCTCCTCCTCTCTCCATTCCAGGTGCACACAGGAAAATTATTTGCATGGAAAATTCCACAAAACATGTTTTTGCACTAACCATAAAAAGCACACACGTTTCCAAATTCACATTTGCTCACATATGGAAAGCTAGAAAATCCAGTTAGGGATGTTTTCTCAATAAGAAAGACATTTTCATTCTTGGAATTGTTTGTTCACACCCAGTCTTCCGGGACTTGAGTATCTCCTACTATTTCTTGCTGTTACATGCATCAGAATACTTGAGGAGACAAATTTTAACTTTGTTACTTTGAAGTTCTGTGGTAATGTTTTCTGCTGGAAGAGCAGGTGAAATAGCAAGATACAAAGGATGCCTTTAACCTTGTAACTCCACAGAAGTTATTAGCCAAAGGATTTATCCTTTAAATTTCTAATTAAGAGATAGATTGTCATTAGCTATTTGGACCACATTACACAGGGCCTGAGCAAAGTCCTGGGTATGTGAGTTTGGAGAACAGGATGGGAGAATAAGTAACTTGCTGAGGTTCCCGCATTTACTGTACTTTAGTGATGGGGACTGAGAGCAATTTTGGTCTTGGACAAAGGGGCTCTAAATGTAGACAGGCTGTGTTCTGCAGTCTGGATGCTATCCTGTAAGGAAATGGAAAGTCATACTTTTTTGGCAGAAAATGAGTCATTTTTGAGTTATTTTGACTTTATTTTTTGTGTATGACAGAATATAATGGCATTTCTAACTTAGGAGAACCCCTTTTTTAGGCTGACCATAGATAAAATAGAGAACTATGAAACTAAAGATAATTAGAGGGTTTAATATAGCAATTCAGGAGAGAGATGCTGGAAGATAACTTAATATGTTTGAAGGTGAGAGGAAAAGCTAAAATAAACATTGACTGAGAGTACATTACTATCTAATATTTCTCAGTTCTACCCCACCTTCATTTTTATTCAAACTTCATAGAATTCATGCTACATTTATGAAACAGTCTCCAAAATCTGTAACAGAATTGAAAGCACATATGGACAGTTATTTTTTTAAAAGCACACAAATAAACACAAAAACTCCAGAGTGCAAAGTAGAATGGTCATGGGGTAGGGGTTTCTGACACACTCATCAGAGTCTGTTAAATGTGTGTCATTCTAATGACAA